AGCCGCCCGCCATAGTTCAGCCTGGGGGTGGTGTCTTGTCCTCCTCAATCAACCTCAACTTTTAAGGAAGAAACAGTTTGGGGGCACTGATCAAGCCTGGTGAGATTGTATCCCAGACCATCACGAGCTGGCAGTGCAGACAGAGCTGCAGTAGGCTTTAGTAAAGGGGAGATGTTTGGGTTCAGTCCAAGGCCAGAGGGCTTAGGGGTCAGAAGTTAGAAAATGATTAACATGGGCCCAGGGTGGCGACCTAGTGGCTGGAGTTCTTGCCTTGCATGTGCTGGGATACCCTGTGGGTGCTGCTTTGTGTCCGGGCTGATCCACTTCCCATCCAGCTCCCTGCTTGTGGCCTGGGAAAGCAGTGGAGCATGGCCTGGGGTCTTGGGATCCTGTACCCGCATGGGAGACCTGGAAGAAGCTTCAGATCAGCTCAGCTCTGGCTATTGTGGCCACTAGGGAGAGTGAACCAACAGCTGAAAGATTTTTGTCTCTGTCTCTTCTCTTTTTAAATCTGCCTCTCCAATGAAAATAGTAAATCTTAAACAAAAAATTTCTAGGGCCCAGCACAGTAGCCTACTGGCTAAAGTCCTCGCCTTGAACGCACCAGGATCCCATACGGGCGCTGGTTCTAATCCTAGCAGCCCTGCTTCCCATCCAGCTCCCTGCCTGTGGCCTGGGAAAGCAGTGGAGGACGGCCCAAAGCCTTGGGACCCTGCACCCATGTGGGAGACCTGGAAGAAGCTCCTGGCTCCTGGCTTTGGATCGGCTCAGCTCCAGCTGTTGCAGCCACTTAAGGAGTAAACCATCGGATGGAAGATCTTCCTCTCTGTCTCTGCTCCTCTCTGTATATCTGCCTTTCCAATAAAAATACATACATTTTTTAAAAATTCTAAAGGAAAACAACCTAATGAAATATGGCCAAAGAAGTGCTGCCACCATACCCCATACAAAAGAGGTCTTTAAAAAGTTTGTGGAAGAGGTTGGTACTGTGGCGTAGCAGGTACTGCCAGCATCCACAGGGGCGCAGGTTCAAGTCCCAGCTGTTCTACTTCCCATCCAGCTCTCTGTGAAAGCTCTTGGAAAAGCAGCGGAAGATAATCCAAGTGTTTGGGCCCCTGCACTCACATGGGAGACTCAGAAGAAACTCCTGACTCACAGCTTTGGTTCGGCCCAGCTCTGGCTGTTTCAGCCATTTGAGGTGTGAACCAGGGCACGGATGGTCTCTCTCTGCTTCCGTAACTCTGCCTTTCAAATAAATAAGCAAATAATTCTTTTTTTTTTTTTAAGTTTACAGAAGATGTATATTAAGGAAATAATATTCTGGGATGTCAAAAAAATTTTTTTGAATCAAAACAAACATCTTTGTTTTCCATGGACTTTGAGGTGTGCCCCTGGTCCACGCACACACAGCATGGAGATCGTGAAGGAGCCGCTGACCAAGGGGCTGGGGGAGGGGCGGCACGGGAGAGAAACTTGATTCACTGGAAGGAGACTTCGAGAACATCCAGTCCGACCGTCTCACTGTACAGATCAAGAGAATGAGTCACAGTGCTGGGCTCCAGCCAAGGTCACAGAGGCCTGAGGTACCCAGCTCCCCCGCCCCCCAGGGGGCTCTGCTGGACGACCTGGTGGGGTGGGGCTGGCAGAGAGAGGATGGGCCACCCCCCCTTCAGTGGTGCAGGGAGACCCTGGAGACCAGCCAGAACCAAAGGCATGCAGTGGGGCAGGCTGCAGAGTTCTCTTACGAGACAAATCGCAAAGTCTAGATCTTTCCAGAAATCCCTTATGTCCCCACCCCCACGCACTCCAATCCTGGGTCTCAGTAAAGCTGGTGGAATCCGTCAGCTGGCAGGCCTCTCCCGGGAGCCCAGGCAACGGCCTGGAAGACTCCAGCATTTTCTCTGAGGTCTGGCCAGCGAGAGGGAGGGGCTGACTCCCGTGGCTGGGACGGTGTGCGGTGGAGGTGTGGCTGTGGTCTTTACTCTGCTAGAGTGTCCCTCGAACTGAGGACTAAGGGGGATAGAATGGGGGCTCCATCCACATGAGATTGCCCAAACCCTGCAGGGGCCAGGAAGTGGAGGAAGGGGAGGGATGGGGCTATGTCCTGTTCTCTCTGCCCCCACCCCCACCGTTTCTGGAAAATCTCTAGGGGCTTAGAGTTGTTCTATCTATCCCAAGGGAAACAAAACAAAACAAAAAACCACTCAGGGCCGGGGTGCTAGAGCCAGCCAGGAACGTGTGAACCAACACACCATGGCACCCCTTGCCCAGCCTGGTTATTGGGTGGGCAGTGCAGCCCCAGACAGCCAGCCCGGTTCATCCCTGTGTTGGATAGAGAAGCGAGAGGCCAGACCTCTGAGAAGAGGCTTTCACGTCCCCCGTGGCTTGATTCTAGGTCTCCCAATCCACAATTAAAGACCCTGGGGGGGGGGGGGTCAGGGAGAAGTGCATTGGTTCAACTGGCTAACCCACCAGTATCCCATATGGAGGCCAGTTCATGCCCTGAACTGTTACACTTCCCATCCCAGCTCCTTGCCTGTGGCCTGGGAAAGCAATAGAAGGGATGGCCTGGGCCTTGGGACCCTGCGCCCATGTAGGAGACCCAGAAGAAGCTCTTGGCTTTGAATCAGTTCAGCTCTGGCCACTGTGACCACTTGGGGAGTGAACCAGCAGATGAAGATCTTTCTGTCTCTCCTTCTCTCTGTAAATCTGCCTTAGCAATAAAAATAAACAAATCTTACAGAAAAAACAAAATGACCCTCTGAACGCCAGCCAGCATGCCTGAGCCCCAGGCACCTGCCACGCCCAGTCCCTGGCTGGACACGGACCACAGCTCTGAGTGAGCCGAGCCAGCTGCATGGTTAACCCCGTTTGCAGAGGTCAAAGCATGAGCTCACGGAGAGGGAGGCTCAGATACAGGCCCAGCCCTGCGTGACCCCAAAACCCAGTTTCTCCCTGCACCAACCCTGCTCCCCAACTCCTGCGTCCCCTCCACCCTGTGATGGGCAGGGTGAGCTCTGCATGACCAAGCGAGTCCCATGGGGCACTGGGCCCTTGGTTACCCAATATCTCTCAGCTGGGGCAGTGAGGAGGATGCTCTCCCCCCTCCCCCCACTCCAGCCCTGGCTTTCGGGGAGATGAAGGCAATGATGAAGATGAAGAAAGCTTTTGTCTCCAAAGCAGACAGGCAGTCAGCTGCTACCACCATTAGCAAGCGTGGCTGGACTGGGCAGGCCCACGCCTGAAGGCACTCCTGAGCACACCTGACAGCTGGTTCCAGGGTGTGGCACCCTGGACTGGGCCCTGTTGGGCAGGCAGGGACGGGTGAGAACTTTGCCTGGCTTCTGATCTCACCCCAACTTTATAGGGCTGGCTGTACTGGCCAGCAAAGGGTCCGGGGCTTCAGGAAGCCCTGTTTCACTGCCTCCCCACCCCTTGCGTCCCCAAAGTAGCCTTTTTGTGGGTAACTTCACGGCCATGGCCAAGCCCCAGCTTGTGCCCGATGGGGAGCAGGTGGGCGAGGAAGACGTAATGCGTACATTTGTAGGCATTAAGGCGCAGCACGCTAAGCCAGTGCTTGCTGTGCCGGCATCCTATACTAGGGCGTCAGTTCAAGTCTTAGCTGCTCTGCTTCTTATCCAGCAGCCTGCTCTCCCACCTGGGAAGGGTGCAGATGGTGGTCCAAGGACCTCGGCCCCTGCCCCCTGTAGGAGACCTGGCTTAGGCCTAGCTGGTGAGGCCATCTAGGGAAATGAATCAGCAGGCGAATGATTTCTCACTTGCCTGCTTCTCTTTCTGCTTTTCAAAGGAGTGAATCTTCGAGCGGGAGAAAGGAAGAAAGAGGAACTCAGAGAAGGGAGGGGCCTTCCTGCTTCCTCAGCTCGGCCTAGGGAGTGGGAGACCCCGGGCAGGGGTTGGGGGTCTGGGCAGCAGCACCTGGTTGTGGCTGGGAGGGGGAGCAGGGCAGCAAGGCAGGGGGTGGATGCTGGCTGGTTGGGGGGGGGTGTTTTAGGGGAGACTGGGCATGAGTTTCCTGTTCCCGACCTGCACTGGGGCGGAGGGGAGAGGAAGGCAGGAAGGACAGGAGAGAGATATGCAAGGTTAGGTTACTGCAAGATCCTGGGGTGAGGTGAGGTGGGGGGTGAGGTGGGCGGTGAGGTGGGGGTAGATGGAGCAGGCCCACAGGTGAGCTCCGCTACTTAAATAGCCAAGGTGACCCGTGGCAGAAGGGGAAACTGAGGCCCACCAAGAAGGGCCCTGCCTTTCCCCCACGCCTGTCCCACTGTGGTTTCCCAGCCAGCCAACCAGGGTTGTGAGACCAGAGAGGTGAGACAAAGAGGGAAAGATTTCCCATCTGCTGGTTCACTCACCAAATGGCCACAGTGGTCAAAGCTGAGTTGAAGCCAAGAGCCTCTGAGTCTCCCACGTGGGTGCTTGGTCCCAAGGCTTTGGGCCACCTTCTCTACTGCTCTCCCAGGCCACAAGCAGGGAGCTGGGATGGGAAGTGGATCAACCAGGACCTGAACAGGTGCCCAGATGAGATGCCAGCGCTTGAAGGTGGTGGATTCGCCTTTTAAGCCACAGCGCAGGTCCCCAGCCAGGGTTTCAAAGAGAACAGATACACTGGAGAGCTAAGACCAACACCTGCCTCGGGACCCCTCGCATCCTGGCACAAGGTTGGGGATGGGGGTGCTTTGGGGCTTGGCAGAGGGGGAAACCCCACAAGCTCCACCTCCTTGTCCCTCTGTTCCAGGTAGATGACAACAGCCAAACAAGAGCGACCTGGCTTAGGCCCGAGGCCAAATCTTCCCTGGCATGAAGTCATCGCATTCCCAGCTAACTCCATTACGTAAAACACTTTCCTGGCCAGCTCCCATTTTCCGGATGGGGAGAGTGAGGCCCTGGCAGCCTTATGGGTGGGTTTAGGGACACAAGCTCTGCAGCTTATGGGAAGAACGCGGGGGTGATGGGGACGAGAGGGGGCTCACACACCTTGGGACCCCAGAAGATTTCTGGGGAGCGCCCCCTCCACGGGGGTTCCTCCCAGCTCCCTAATTCCTGGCCCTGCCACTTCCAACCTGCCCTACGGCCTACTGTGCTTGACTGCCCAGGCTTCAGGGCCCTGCCCAGGGCACTGCTCCAGCCCTCAACACCCCCACCGGCCGGGGCGGGGGCGGCGGCTGCGGCTCCACGCATTTGTCTTCCCAAACAAGAGAAGGTTCCAGATGTGGGCAGAACCTTCCCCGCCCCGCCCCACCTCGCCTCTCTGGGGGAGGAATTCAGGGGGCGGAGCGGCCCCCAGCTGATCCTGGCCATTAATAGAGACCTGAGGCACCGCCTGCTAAAAATACCCGGCTGGAGGCCCATAAAAGAGCCGAGGGGAGCCCCCCGGAGTACGACACCGCTCTGCACCCTCAACCCGGACGCAACTCAGCACACAGCTCCGCCAGCATGACTGAGCGCCGCGTGCCCTTCTCGCTCCTGCGCAGCCCGAGCTGGGACCCGTTCCGCGACTGGTACCCGGCACACAGCCGCCTCTTCGACCAGGCTTTCGGGCTGGCGCGGCTGCCCGAGGAGTGGGCGCAGTGGTTCGGCGGCAGCGGCTGGCCGGGCTACGTGCGCCCGCTGCCCGCCGCCGAGGTCCCCGCCGTGGCCGCGCCCGCCTACAGCCGTGCGCTCAGCCGGCAGCTCAGCAGCGGCGTCTCCGAGATCCGGCACACTGCTGACCGCTGGCGCGTCGCCCTGGACGTCAACCACTTCGCCCCCGAGGAGCTGACGGTCAAGACCAAGGACGGCGTGGTGGAGATTACCGGTAAGTGAGACGTGTCCCCCCTATTCCGGCCACCCTGCCACCTCCCCGGGCTTCTCCCGGCCGGCATGGACAGTTGGAAACCAGAAAGCCGGAGCTTTCCCGTGCGTCCCGCCCCGGGCCGCGGCCGCAGGTGCCTTCTCGGCTTTGTTGGGACCTTCGTGCCCCCCCTCGGTGTCCAGCAGAGCCCCGTACCCACCTCCTCAACCCCAAGGAAGCAGCGCCTTCCGGGAGCCGTCTGTCCACTTCCCCAGCCCCGCTCGGGCACCGCGGCCTCGGGGGCGTGTGCGCCGCTCAGTGTGCGCTTGTGCGCACGGCTCCCTCCCGCTCCCAAAGCGCAGACTGGAACTTTCCAGAAGTTTCTGAGGGTCCCGGACACTCAGACGCCCCACCACACTTCCTAAAGAGTTCTCTCTCGTCTGTATCTTCACTGAGCAGGCCGAGGTGGTGGGAGAAATCCTCTCTTTTTTCCCCTCCCGGCCTCTGAGCTTTTCTCTGTTCGCCTTCACCCCCCCACCCCCGCAGGCAAGCACGAAGAGAGACAAGACGAGCACGGCTACATCTCCCGCTGTTTCACCCGGAAGTACACGTAAGTCCTGGTCCCACTTTGTGTGTGTCTGGAAGGGGTGACCTTGCGTGGAGTGTCCGCCCCATGCCCCTCCCCCACTACCTGCACCTCACCATGTTAACTCCTTGCTGCCTTTTTTTTTTTTTTTTTTTTTCCTCTCCCGACCTGTCCAGGCTGCCCTCTGGTGTGGACCCCACCCTGGTCTCATCCTCGCTGTCGCCTGAGGGCACGCTCACCGTGGAGGCCCCGCTGCCCAAGCCGGCCACGCAGTCAGCTGAGATCACCATCCCGGTCACCTTCGAGGCCCGCGCCCAGCTCGGAGGCCCGCAGGCCGGCAAGTCCGAGCCGCCGGCGTCCCAGTAGAAACTTGTAGAAACTTCCTGGGCATCACCCCAGCCCTTCCCCGCACCCACTTGTATGCTTTTTTGATACTGTTACCTTCTGGTTTTGCTTGGGGTTTTTTTTGCAAATAAAGTTGAAAGCAGCTTCTTGCTCCTGCCTCAGATGCTGGTGTTTGGGGGAGAGCGTCACGTGGCGTCGCTGTGGCTCAGGGGCGTGCTGGGTCCAGGAAGGGGGTGGCTCAGGTGTAGCTGTCCCTTTGGGTCCCTTTGTCTGCCGAGAGGAAGGGAGTGGTTGTAACCGGTTAACATTTCCAGGCCAGGTATGGGAGTCCAGCTGCACCTGGAACAGCTGTGGCCAGCACCCCCTCGGGCTGGGGAGCTTTGGGCCAGCTGAGAGTGTCTTCAGCTTCAGTGTTTGGTTGTCCTCCGTGGACGGGTAACAATTTCAGGTGATTCTGAGCCAACCCAGACAGCCCCTTGGAGGAGGATGGTGCCCACGAGCCAGGTGCCCACGAGCCAGGGGTGGTGACATGCAGGGACTTTGGCTGAACTGGCCCAGGTAGAAACGACCATCGCCTCCCCCTCCCCCAGCCTCTGCCTAGGTCCAAAGAGGGAGCTAGTCTGGCCACCTTCAAGGTCTCCCAGGAAGTTGGGGGTGTGGCAGTTCCCTGGCAAGATCTGTCACACCCACAGCCTTATTTTCCCAGGACTGCTGCTGGGAGAGACTGGGAAGGGTGTGGAACACAACACACACACCACCACCACGATCATGAAGGGTGTGGAACACACACACACACCACCAACCTATCACCACCCTCCCCCGCCAGCTCCCGTGTTAATGAAAATGGCCCACAGGGATCCTGTGTGTGCCTGGCTGGCAGCTCACGGTGCGGCTGCCACCACTGGCTGCCCTTCTGTCTCCAGTCCAACCCCCTCAACCGGCCACCCTTCTCCTGGGAGACACTCCCACGCTCCCAGCACCCAGGACCTGGACAGTCAGGCCTTTGGCTCTCGCCCCTGGCTCTGCCCAGAGCTGACCAGGCCTGGTGGGGGTGGGCAGGGCAGGCCCCACGGCTGTCTGGGTGTGTTCAGCAAATCTGCCCTGGGGTGCCCTTACAGGGTAATCCTCCGGGAAGAGCTACAGTTACTGCTGCTTGACAGCTGGGAACAGCAGGTCTCAAAGACTGAGACTTGCCAGATAAGGTCCTGGAGGGGGCAGGAAGGGACACCCTTGGGGAGGTGGGGGCGGGATGCCAGGGCTGCAGCTGAGAGCCTGCTGCCTAGGGCTGCTCTGGAGACCCAGGGGGCAGCCCTAGATGGGGAGAGCTGCCCAGTGTGTGTGTCGGAGGGGGGCATCTCGGGCCCATGGTCTAGAACAGGTAAGGGTCAACAGCCTGCAGTGGTCCAGGGCCAGTCCCTAGAAGTGTTGGAGGTCCCGAGCCCCGCCTAGGGGCACAGGTGAAAGGACTGGAATGCCCTAGAAAGTTACAATGGTTGGTGCCCACTAGTCCTGCCTTGGCCACCTGGAGGAAGGGGACTGGCCTCAGAGGACATGTTGAGGGGGTATTTTCTCTTGGATAGTTGAGCAAGGGCTGGGAAGCACACACATGCAGCCTGTGTGATGAGCGGACTCCCATTGACAGGTTTGGCTAGGGGACCAGGCCAGATCCCTGCTGCAGAAAAGCTCCCAGGGGAGACAGGTGTGTGAGGCATGGGCCGGGCGGGGGCTAACGTGGCCCCCCAGGACAGGGCAGGGTCACAGAGTGCAGGTGGGGCAGCAGAAGAACCTCTCCATCTGTCATGTCACCCATTCCTTGTCCGTGGTTCCCCACCCAGCCTGTGACCGAGCTCTCAGCGAGCCAGCCTGGGCAGACTGTGGCCTTGGCTGCTAAGAGGCAAATTGCTTCCAGGTCTCGTCATCCGGGCATGCTGGGCCATGTGTGATGCCAGCATCCAACAGGCAGTCCCGGCTCCTCCACTTTTTTTTTTTTTAAAAAGAAAGGTTTATTTATTTTTATTGGAAAGTTAGATATACAGAGAGGAGGAGAGACAGAGAGGAAGATCTTCTGTCTGATGATTCACTCCCCAAGTGAGTGCAATGGCCAGTGCTGCGCTACTTTGAAGCCAGAGGCCAGGAGCCAGGAGCCTTTTCCGGGCCTCCCACATGGGTGCAGGGTCCCAAGGCCTTTTGGCTGTTTTCTGCTGCTTTCCCAGGCCACAAGCAGGGAGCTGGATGGGAAGCAGGGCCACTGGGATTAAAACCAGCGTCCATATGGGATCCTGGTGCGTTCAAGGTGAGGACTTTAGCTGCTAGGCCAACGCGCCAGACCCCTTCCTCCACTTCTTGAACCAGCTTGCCGCTAATACATCCAGGAAAGCAGCAGAGGATGGTCCAAGCTTGAGCCCCTGCACACCCATGAGGGAGACCTGGACACGGACCTGGACCACGGACAGAGCCTAGGAGAACTAGCGCCAGGGATTGGTCATACAGCTGAGTGTCCCAGCTCCTCTGGCCTGTTGGCAGCCACCCTGGCACAGAGCAGGCAGGACAATGCAGGGGCCAGGTCTCGGTGAATCTGCCTAGATGCCCTACACCTTCCCCCGTCTGCCCACGCCCACAGGTATACACTGGCCTCTGCACTGCGGGACACTCCCAGGGCTCGGCATTTAGGCTACTGTTGTATGCCAGGGGGGAAGTGGTTCTCGGGAAGGTGGCCAACCCTTCTACGAAGCCCCTCTGAGGCCTGGAGTGTGTATAGATATGGGGTGCAGGACAGCAGTTGCCTAGGTCATGTCTAGGGCGCCCCCTCCTGGCCAAGACCCAGAGTTTCCCCAACCCTGATCCAAGGCCTTGCATTCCTGTAAAGTTACGTGGACTGCACCTGCCCAGGGTCTCCCAGCAGGTCAGGGTGGTCCTTGAAGCCCTGGACTTTGAGGAGGTCTACAGCATGCCCTTGAGTCCTCCAAGCACTGGTTTTCTTTCCCTGCTTCCTTCCGCCCAGCCAGCCAGGTGGCCTCATGGCAACTCCCGAGTTTGAGCTGCATTCTCACTCACTCCCTCCACTGTCAGCTGCTTGATGCAGGCAGGGAGGACTGGCAACATGGAAGCACTCCCGCCTTGCCCGGGCCTGGCTCAGCAGGAAACAGAAGGGCGGCTGCCCAGGTCTCAGGTCCAAGCCCAGGGTTTGGGAACGCCTCCCTGGCTGCCAAAGGAAGGTCAAGTGTTCAGCCAGGTAAGCTCCTGGCTCCTGGGGCAGAGAGGAGGACCAGGGCTGGAGAAGCAGATGCAGACACAAAATAGATTTTCCCTGGCATGTTCCGTAACCACAGACACAGTGTGGCTCCGACAAGCTGTTCTTCCCTGTCTGTGCAAACAGCAGCGCAGGCCAGGCCTCCCCAGCCCATACCTTTTTTTTGCTCCCTGGGAAAGCCCTTCCCACAGGAAGTAGAACCTGGGGACCTGAAGCCTGGGTGTGTAGCTATCACCCGCATAACTTCATCTGCAACACAGGACCAGGCTTGTTGGTCTTGTTTACCAGGCGCTTCTAGTCCCCAAACTGTCCTAGCCTGTGCCGCTTTTCTGCCCCTGACCTGGGCTTAAACTCTCTACACAGAGTGGAGTTCCACTGTGAATGTGTCATTTCTGTGGCTTAGGCACAAGAATACTTTTTATCCCCCTGCCAAACTGTCCATTGTTACTTTATTTCCTAGGCTAAAATGATTGCATCCTCACAAGGCAAACAGATGAATTTAAACCTCCCACAGCCCGGCCCCTCCCACCCTTCCTTCCCAACCGGGACACTTGCCAATCGGATATGCCTACGGACCTGGGACCTAGCCCTGCCCCGCCTCGCCCTACCCAAGGCAGCAGTGAGCGCAGCTGCTGCCGCGACACGCAGGGGCAGGAAGCTGGCCTCCCACTCTACCCCCCAACCCCCCGTCCCACCTAGACTGTACAGGTCTATAGGCACAGGGTGGGGTCCGCAGGGGGAAGCTTGGGGTTCCTCCAAGGCCCCCTAACAATGGGACACTTGGGAGCAAGACAGGGGGGCTCCATGCAGGACCAATAAGGGTCTGGGGTCTTAGGGCTGGCACTGGGAAACCCTTTTCGCAAGGTTTGCCCAGCCTGAAAGGGGCTGAACCGTGGGATCCCTTGCAGGGGTCCTGGAGTCCCGAAACAGTGATCGGTAGGTGGGAGAACGGGTGACCCTGGGGAAAAACTCCACTTGCCCCCCCAGGAACAGGTGGTAGCCCTTGGAGGGATTACCACCTCAGAGGCGGCAGCCCGGGCTGGAGGGATTGTGCTAAATCCAGGCAGGAAATCTGAGCCCACCTGGGTCAGGCCTGGAACGAGGTGTGGGTGTGTAAGGGGAGCAAGACAAGCACGATACTGCCCCCTGCAGGATGCCCGAGGACACTGCTTCCGCACGACTCCCGGGGCTCATGGCAGCGAGCGAGCGCCCCCTGGTGCTAACTGCTGGCATTTCTGCCCAGGTCTGGGGTTCCTGCCAGGCCAGGAACTCTTCGAGAACGACACCCCCTCCCCAACGCTGCGTTCACACACCCTCCCTGCCCGCGGCCCGTCTCCAGAAAGACCCCAGCTCACCCCTGTCCCCACCCTGCCCTGTGGCATCTGCGCTGCCAGGTGGTAATTGTTGTTGGTTAGTAATCAGTGGCTTATTAAAGCGGCCAACTCTGAGGCCACACAGAGGAGGCCAGAGGGGCTGTGGGTCTGCCCAGCTTCAAATCTGGTTGGCCGCTCTGAAGGCCAGGAGAGAGGAATATTAAAGGCAGGGTGGGTTTAACCCACCTGCACAGCGAGGTGGGTTAGGGTCTGGCCCCCCGCAGCTGCAGGACCCCAAGCAGGTCTGTCCTCTACTTTGCTGCTCGGTCGGGGAACCTGGTCAGATCCAGGGGTGCGTGGGGGGCGGCACGCAGAGGAGTCAGCCGTCCCACACCCGCGCTCTCACCAAGGGGTCAGACCTCCCGACCAGGTCGCTCGAGGCACCGAGAGGGTCCTGAGAGCACAAGGAGCATGACGACAGGCGGAGGGAGGCGAGGCAGAAGGACTTCCTCCGAGCGGAGCCCGAATCCAGCCCCTGAGGCGGCGGAGGCGGGCAGACCTCCGGAGCACCTAGCAACAGGCCAGC